ACATTTGGTGACTTCAGACAAATGTATAATGACATGTATCTATTATTTTAATATGATAGAACAGTTTCACTGCCATAAAACTTCTCGATGCTATGCCTGTTCATCTCTCCCTTTCTTCCTAGCAACTCCAACCACTGATCTTTTCTATCTCCATAGTTTTACTTTTTTCAGAAGCATCATATAGTTCAAATAATACAGTGAATATATTTTTGACTAGTTAAAAAGTTAAAGTTCTATGGTAATTAAATGTAGTCATTTAAGATATACTTTTTCCTTTTGTTTTTCTTTTTTTTATCATAAGATCTGATGACATGTGCTTTACATGTTTAGAAAACATGATTTGTGTAGATATTTGCCACATAATGGAAAGGGTTGAGGAAAATGGCACCATGCATTACCACACAGTGCACACTGGAACATCCTGGTTTACGGGGTGGGTTCAGATAGACTCTCTGTTCATTGGAAGGGAACAAGTTTAAGAGGTTGTACTTTATAAAACTGGAATCACAAAGTCTTCATATGTACTTTCAGTTGGAAATAAGACCAGGCAGTGAATGCTATAGGTAAATACCCATGCTCCTCACTGATCCTCTTCCTTAGAGGGATGAGTTTGAAAACAGTCTGTATTATGATGACATGACTCACCTATGACTAGATTCTCTGTCATGAGGGATGGCAAGGAAATCATACAATTTTGCTTTATATGAGGTTTAGAACGAATTTTTTTCTCCCACTAGGGAGAGGGGAAAGCACTGGCACATTCTGGTGGTAAGAGGGCATTGATAGTTTTCTTTCTGTGTATTTTTCACATCAGATAATATATCTGGCAGCCTGCTACACCTCCCCAGTGTTTGTTAAGAAGCTTAACACCCGCCTCAGCCACTGCACTCCAGCCTTGGTAACAAGAGCGAAACTCCGTCTCCAAAAAAAAAAAAAAAAAAAAAAAAAAAAAGTTTAACAAACACTGGCAGCCACACCTCCCCAGTGTTTGTTACGCTTCTCCCTGAAGGTGAGGTGTGATTCGTAGTGGATAAGCTCTTAAAGGAGTGAAGTTTCCAGTGGTTCTTTCTGTGGGAGGTAAAGTGGCAGGCGAATTTGGGCCTTGTTATATGTAGAGCTGAGCATATAGCTACAACTGAGTAAACCACCCAGGACATTCCCTAGAAGAGTATTAGCCAGAGTAACACATTGATCTCTCTTGAGCTCTTCTCCACCAGCAGCTGGAAAGTATTTGCAAGGACCCTTGTTTCTGGTCTGATTCCTATGTTTTGCTAGCTTCTGGTGATAAGTTGTTTTATCCTAACCTGAACAGGTTTAACTGCAGAGCTAAGTGCAGTAGTTCCCCCTTAAATGTAGGAGATACATTTTAAGACTCCCAGTAAATGCCTGAAACCACAAATAGTACTGAATCACATACCATTTATTTCTACATATATATATATATATATATATATATATATATATATATATATATATATGATAGCATTTAATTTATAAATTAGGCACAGTAAGAAATTAACAACTCATCATAAAATATATTGCTGTGGTTCTCACCCTTTTTCCTGTGATGATGTGAATTGATACAATGCCTATGTAATGAGATGCAATGAGATGAATGATGTAGGCATTATGCAGTGTTAGGCCACTATGTACCCCTTGACTCTAAGTCAGAAAAAAGATCATGAGCTGTGAGTGACCCTGGGTCTTCAGGCCTTAATGATGTTGATGGCTGGCAAGAGAAGGAGACCGTGTTGATGACTAATGGGTGAACAGCATATGCAGGGTGGATGTACCGAACAAAGGGATAACTCACATCCCAGTCTGCATGGAGGGGCTCAAGGTTTAATCACACTTCTCAGAATGGCACACTAAAACTTATGACATGTTTATTTCTGAAGTTTTCCATGTGATATTTTGGGAATATAGTTGACTATTAGCTGTCACCACAGAAATAAAAACGGCGAATGTAAAATCTGTGTTTGGACTTTGACTCATTTCTTGGTGTACAATTCTTAAAATCGTTAGAAATTCCAAACTGATGTCTTTTTGTATGCTAATGATTGATGGCTCGAAGCCCCTATGTAGATTCATGATGGCAACTGGTCATTATTGTGAAGACAACGATTAGAGGGTTGAGATCCCCCGTCTCACTCTGCAGACTCTGGGGCGAAGAGAAAGCCTTAAGCTTTTCAGTCACCAACGGCCAGTGCTTTACTTAATCAGTGGTGCATATGTAATAAAGCTTTCATAAAGACCCAAAGGGACTGGGCTTAGCTTCCAGTTTGCTGAATACATTGAGGTTCCTGGAGGATGCTGTGTCCTGGGAAGGCATGTAATCTTCATCCCACTTCCCCCACACTTTGCACTATGCATCTCTTCATCTGTACCTTTTGTAATGTCATTCATAGCAAACTGGTAAATGTGTTTCCCTGAGTACTTTGAGCCACTCCAGCAATTCAGTTTAACCCAAAGAGGGAGTCCTGGCAACCTCAATTGAACCCCAAATTGAAGCCAGTTGGTCAGAATTTCTGGAGTTTCAGACTTAGGGCTGATGTAGGGAGGCAGTCTCATGGGACTGAACCCTTTACCTGTGGAATCTGATGCTATCTGCAGACAGAGTATGAGAACTGAATTAGATGACACCCAGCTTGTGTCATCTGCAGAAATGATTGCTTGTTGGTGGGGAAAATCCCTCCCCACATTTGATCATGGAAGCCTTCTTTGTTGATGATTGTTTCTGTGGTGTGAGAGCAGAGAAAAACATGGCAAGTATGTCTTTTCCACATATGTTGTGGAAAAGGGAACTACTGTATACTCTGTTTTAACTGCCCTTCATATTTTAGTTCAGAAATCATGCTCTTTGACACTGGTCATTCATCACATCTGTTCTGATAACAATACCATTCATTTTTAGTCAATCTCATATGGTCTGACATGACTTGTATACTGCAGTTCACTTGTAGATATCAAATCTTCATAAATTCATTCTTTGCATTTAATAAATACAAAGTAAGGGAAATAAGAGTTCTTACTGTACTAGTCACATACCAGTAGGTATAATTTATATTAATTCTAATAAGGTCTCAGGTATGCTTCCAGAGGAATGCTTTTTAACAAAGCATCAGTTCTATACTTGAAAGAAAAATGGTCTAAAGCATGCATACAAGTGTGCATAATTTTTTTGATGAAAGTAGAGTCTTGCTATGTTTTCCAAACTGGTCTCAAACTTCTGGGTTTCTCAAGTGATCCTCCTGCCTCAGTCTCCCAAGTAATTGAGATTACAGGCATGCATGACTGTGCCTTCTTATGTTTTTAATATTCTGTATATTATTGATTTACAATGCATTTTACCTTTTCCTTTAATAGATCCTGGGAGTTCTGACGCATCTGCAGACAGGTAGGATTTTACAGATTTAAAAAATTATATTAACTAAGGAAATATAGATGGAAGAAACTAATATCTGCTGAGTGTTGTATTCTGGGCTAACCACCCTATTATGTGCTATGCATTATCTCATAAAGCCATCACAACATCTGTGTTCTTATAACCTACTGTTTATTAAATAGGCAGCTGTGGTTTAGAGAGGTTAATTAATTGGCTCATGACCCCATAGTTAAAAAAGTAGCTGATTCGCAGTTAAACCATCAGCCTGCCTGGCTTCCAAATCTTTCTTTTGCTCCTCAGCCTAAATGGATAAAGATCCGTGCAGCAACTGGATCAAGATATATGTTAGAATCAGATTAATGAATACAGTCAAATCTAGTTATATGTTAACTCTCATTTAAGGTTATTTTGAGAAATGAGGTTGGTCTAAGAGTTTGTCTGAATAATTTGACAATTTCAGTGGTAACCAATATCGTATCTTTACCATCAAAGGCTTTAGAGCAGTGTAAAGGTTTGGCCATAGGATTGTAAATTTTACAAAACCAAGATTAGACAAGTCTTAGAGAGCAATTATTTGACTTCCCAGTTTGGCTTTCCCTTTAGGCTAGTATTTCTGCCTGCTTCCACATAGTTTTTTTTAGTCTTTTCTCCTTTTTCCATGACATTTCCCTAACCTTCTCTTGATGTTTTTAAGAGTTCTTCTCTGCTTTTCATGTTTCTTTGTTCTATCATTTTTTCAAATTCTGCTAGCTATGTATCCCCAATTCTCCTATACAATCAAAAGCATGCAGAATTTCAGAATTTTAAGGAATCATAGGACTAATTAAAATAACCACTAGTACTTCAACATGTGTTAAACATTCTGACAAGTGTTTTTCTAGATAAAGAAACTGAGACTCAAACAGATTAGGATAGTTTCCTTTTTGGACATAGGAAGTAGCAGAAATGAGATTTAAACTCATTTTAAAGCCCAGTACTCACCTTTCTTTTTTTATATGGGCATTTTTTGTTGTTATTGTTGTTCACAGAGTCTTGCTCTCTCGCCCAGGGTTGAGTGCAGTGGCGAAGTCCAGGCTCACTGCAACCTCTGCTGCCTGAGTTCTAGCGATTCTCCTGCCTCAGCCTCCCAAATAGCTTAGATTACAGCCAAGCCATGGTGGCTCACACCTGTAATCCCAGCACTTTCGAATGCTGAGGCAGGCGGATTATGGGGTCAAGAGATCCAGACCATCGTGGCCAAAATGGTGAAAATCAGTCTACTAAAAATACAAAACAAATTAGCTGGGCATGGTGGCGGGCACCTGTAGTTCCACCTATTTGGGAGCTGAGGCAGGAGAATTGCTTAAACACAGGAGGTGGAGGTTGCAGTGAGCCGAGATTGTGCCATCGCACTCCAGCCTGGTGACAGTGAGACTCTGTCTCAGATAATGATGATGATGATGATGATACAAAGGGGGAGTGAGTCTGGTGCACCCAGTGGATAGAATGAGAGTGAAATTAACTGGTGAACCCAATGGCAGTGGCTAAGAATGGAACAAGCAGGGAAGGCCAAGTTTGAAGAGAAACAATACTTTATTGGATAGGAATACGAATTCTTCAGTAAGAGATCAAAATATTGGAGTTTATGACAAGTTTAATAAATTACAAAGATGAACACAACATGTTGGGAATTTACAAAGGCACATTAAAATAGAGGGTTCAAGGGAGCTTTAAACAGGTTGCTGCCTTTTTTGATCAATACCTGACAAACTTGAAGATTTTTACTGAAAGATGCTAAAATATTTTGAGACACTGGGAAGAGTCTCTACAGCAGATAGAAATGTGGTATCACGTGCTTCCATTCTGTCTTACAGAGTGGTGGCTTACAGCTTCTTGAGTACTAGGGGCTGGAGATTGCTGAACTACATAGATCTGTAGCCCAGCGCAGGTGCCTCCTCACCTCCTCCTCTTTTCGTAATTCACTGATGGCCTTCCAATGTTCATGGAGGCTGGGTCAGGGGCATGATTGAGTGGCTAATCCGTCATGAAGTTCAGTTGGGTAATTGGAGGTGTGTCTATGTTGGGGCAGTTGATGGAGACTCCAGTTAGCTTGTTACTCAGGAGCAGGGATGTAGAGAGCCACTCCTGGTCATGTGAGGCCATCCTTTCAGGAATCTGTGCTTTCATAGATTGAAGATTGGAGACTGCCATGGAGCCCCGCACAAGTGGAATCTGGAAACCCATAGGAAGAAAGATATTTAGATAGTACTTAGGGAAACAAGAGGTACAACTACCAGGACTCTGTTTTTCTGGCAGTCTCTCTTCTTGGATCTCTGAGTGCCTATAAAGGTTTTTTTTTTTTTTTTTTTTTTTGGAGAGGGAGTCTGGCTCTGTCACCCAGGCTGGAGTGCAGTGGCATGATTTCAGCTCACCACAACCTCCACTTCCACCTCCAGTGTTCAAGTAATTCTCCTGCCTTAGCCTCCCTAATAGCTGAAATTACAGGTGTTTGCCACCACGTCTGGCTAATATTTGCATTTTTAGTGGAGGCGGGGTTTCACCATGTTGGCCAGGTTGGTCTTGAGCTCCTGACCTCAAGTGATCTGCTCACCTTGGCCTCCCAATGAGCTGGGATTTTACACATGAGCCACCACGCCCAGCCCTACCTGTGAAAGATTTAAGGGCTTCCTAATGTGGACCTGAAAAAGGATGGATATAGTGAGTGTAATTGAATTTTTAATACTGTTAATGTATTGATCTTTCGGGGAAGAGTATTCTCAAAGAATACATACACCTTTGTTGTTAAGAGTTTTGTGCACTTAGCAGTCACACATTTCAAATATTGCAGGTGATTTCCTGTACTGTTTTGGGACAAAGGAAAGCAATGGGATCTTCTTAAGTGGTATCTATGTTGAGGAATCAAGACTGCCAATTTGAAGTGACACAGATTAGTCTTTTAACCAGAGTTAGATAATGGACAAGAAACAATGGGTCTTTCTACCTTGTTTTAGGCATCAGGTTTCTTCCAGTTTAGGTAACAAAAGTTATGTCATTTATTAGTTGAATTTTAACTACAACTTCAGGATACATAATTTGTCAGGGTAAATTATCATCAGGCTCTGGTATATATTGGCTGTCACTATTCATTATGGAGCTCAAGGTCAGTTTTCATTGACTATTGTATATATTTACACAGGTAGAGGTGCAAAAATAGGTAACCAAAATCTATTTTTAGAACAGAGGCAATATTTTAACTGTATCAAGAAACATTATTTAATGTACAGATAGCTGACCTTTTTCCAGATTGTGTTTTGTTTTTTGGAGGGAGAAGCTGAATATGAACCGGCAGTTTAAAAATTTGTAAGGAAATTAGCTTGCTCACTTTCATTGTATATTTTTGCTCTAAAGCATTTCCCATGAACTGTGTGTGTTGATCCATGCCCTAAGACAGATGATGACAACTTGACTGTTACCACCAAGGTGAAGTGGCCTCTTGTAAAATTAATTTTCTCAGTTAAGTTTTGCATATTATTTACTTTTAAAATTTAGCAGTGGTTTATCTTTTTTTATGTTGGTAATACAAAGTTGGTCAGAGAAAAGCATAAACATGGCTAGCTGATTTAAAAAAATTTGTTTAACCTTGTCAACTAACAAAAGATTAAGTACTGTGACAGGGTGAGGCTGAAAGAAAATGAACTGGAAATTACATTATGACAGGAGAAGCACATTAGAAAATGCTTTCCCCAATAAAGGAAATATAAAATTTGGTTAAGATTTGTTTGGATAAATATTAATGTTGGCTTTTAAATCAGACTAGTGTTACTCTCATAATATTTACGCCTGTATAAATCTTCAGTGAATCAAATTACTTGTAGTTATCATGGAATCTCCCTGGTACCTTTTATTGGCAAAACTGTACAACACGTAGCATATAGCTTTTTTTGGACACTTATTATTTTGGTATCATATAGTTTTTAGGAGAGACTTTTATTTCCTACTTATACTAGTTCTGTAGTGAGACTAAAATAATATTAAAATTTGTAGAAAACTAGCTGAGTGGCCGGGCGCGGTGGCTCAAGCCTGTAATCCCAGCACTTTGGGAGGCCAAGGCGGGTGGATCACGAGGTCAAGAGATCGAGACCATCCTGGTCAACATGGTGAAACCCCAT